AACACGATTTTAAAATAATTAAAATATAAATTTAATACTATTTTTGTGTGTGCGTGTAAATAATAAATAGCTTTTAAATAAATAATATTTAATACTTATTTGATATATATATATATATATATATATATATATATATATATATATATATATAGAGAGAGAGAGAGAGAGAGAGAGAGAGAGAGAGAGAGAGAGAGAGAGCTAATGTTATATCGAATATAGCTTATATACTATACACTTAGTATATATACTACACTATACTATATATACATCTTATATATATTGTAACGACCCGACCGGTCATTTTGAGCTCTAGCGCGTCGTTCGGCAGTTTGAGGCCATGAGTAGCTTCACTTCAGGCATTATGGACCATTAATGATTTTCCTGCATATGTAATGTTGTCTGGGTGGATGACAGCCCCATAGTTAGCATGTCCTTACTGCATGGAAAATGGTAAAGCATTCACTTTAAGACATGGCGGAAAGCAGTCATGGTTTGATTGTCATCGTCAGTTCTTGCCAGTTGATCATGAGTTCAGAAGGATGAAGAACGCATTCAATAAGAATACAGTTGATCATGATTTGCCACCTCCAATTTATTCTGGTATTTGGGAGAGGGTTCAGAACTTCACTAAAGTTACCGAGGCCCCACCTTCTAGATTTCTTGGATATGGTGTTACTCATAACTGGACAAAACAGAATATATTTTGGGAGTTTCCATATTGGAAGGATAATCTTCTCCGACACAATCTTGATGTCAAGCATATTGAGAAGAACTATTTTGACAATTTGTTCAATACAGTGGTGGAAGATAAGAATAAGACAAAATATAACCCGAAGGCTAGACTGGACTTACAAGAATATTGCAGGCGACCTGAATTACATTTGCAGTTTGGGAACAATGGTAAGGTGTTCAAGCCCAAGGCCAGCTACACATTCACTTTGGAACAAAGACGACAGATTTGTGAGTGAGTTACAAACCTAAAGATGCCCGAGGGCTATGCATCGAACCTGGGAAAATGTGTCGATATGGTGAGGGAAAGCTGACCCATATGAAAAGTCATGATTGTCATATCTTTTCAGATGGGTCAAATAAGAAGATCATACTTTTTCGATGCAAGTGGTTTGACCCAACACCTAGAAGAGGTACAAATGTACACTCGCAGTACAACATAATTGAGGTTAATAAAAAGACGGGAGTATGATCGCTATGATCCTTTTATAATTGCAGAAAGAGATAGGCAAGTGTACTATGCTCCATATTCATTGCGGAAGGATAAGGCTGATTGGTTTGTTGTAATCAAAACAAAGCCTGTTGGTAGGGTGGAACTTGAGAATGTGCTAGATGTTGCTTACCAAAACGATACCTCAAGTGTTAACCAAATGGTGGATGATCAGTTAGAAAATTACTTGGAGCATCCTCAATGCATATTAGAAGAAGTTGATATTGAGGAAATAACAATCATAGAAAATGAGGATGAAGAATCACCTAATGAAAATGAAATAAGTGAAGAGGAAGGATTTTCAGACGAGGAAGGATACGTCGACGAAGACGACTAGCATGTTAGTTTTTTCAAGTGCTCTCAACTTATATAGATTTATATTCTCAATTCTAACATTTTCTTTAATTCATGCAGATGACCGGTAGGGGTCGAGGTAGGTCTAGGAAGGATAAAAGTCCTACTGATCATGATGATGGTGCTACACCCTCGCTTCCTTCCACTCTACACTTGCATCCCTCTGCTGTTGATGACCGACAGGAATCTTCTAGGCACACATCTATTCCACCACATTCATCTACTCATCATACTACCCACCGTTCTCCCTCCCAGCAGTATTATTACCATTCTCCGCCACAGGGCTATACCTCGCTTCCTCCACATGATCCTACATGTAGTTACATCGGTCCATCGAGTCAGCAGTCACAGAGCCATGTGGTATGCCCGCCATCTGCTCCATTTGCTTCATCACCAGCTGGATCACATCCATCTAGATTACAGCTGGCCGGATCGCAGCAGTGGTCTGGATTACAGCAGGGGTCTAGATAGATGCATGGGTGTGGATCGAAGCCATCTTCATCAGGGACCCCGTCTCTCTCTCCACGGAGTTCGTCTCCTAGCATTTCTAGACTTCGTCTTCGGGATAATAGCACTGAGCCAGATGCCTCCCCTTCTGCGCACGCTTCAAATTCATCGGAGGATGATGATCTAGATGAAGTGTGGTATGATCGTTATCATAGGATGATCATCAGGCCTGAGGGCAATGGGTAAGAGTTATTTATTACTTCTTTATTTTTGTTGAATTATAATAGCTACTCTTGTTTATTTAATGTAATTGCTATGTTGCAGATTCATACCTAATAATCGGGTTACAAAGACAATCACTGAAATCTTGGCCGGTTGTATAATGCACCCTATCCGACTTGGAGTGACTTTCCACCGGATCGCGTGCAACAAATGTTCAACCAATTTAAGATTTTAATATAATTCTTATCTATTTAAGCATTATATTAACAATATTTTCATCTAACATTACATACTTTATTTGCAGACTAAGTGTGCCTGGGAGGACCAGTATAACCGTAAAATTTGTGCAAATTGGGAGTATAAATACCGTAAAAGACTATCTGATTCCTTGTGCTCCGCTCGAAAGATTAACAAGAAGCCTTCATGGGTTCTACCGCATTTATGGGAGGATCTGCAGATGTATTGGACCACCGAGAAATTCGAGAAGAAGAGTGAACTGGGAAAGAAGGCCCGAGCATCTGAGAAGGGTGACTCCTTGCACTGTGTGGGTGCAAGGAGCATGGGGGCTACGAGGAGACTACTGGTAATTCCTTAAAATATTTACATCTATTTTTATCGAACTATATTTACATATGTTAATTTAGTTAACACGTTTTATTATATTTGTAGGGAAAAAATATGTGAGGAAGATGACTCATGCTGAGTTCTTCGTGGAGACTCACATCCAGAAGAAGAAGGCACCGACAAATCCAAGTAGATGGGTCGAGGACCGGACGAAGACTGCATATGTAAGTTTCATAACAAATACTATAAATATTTGTAATATTATATAGTTAATAATTTTCTATCTTCTAAATAAATGGCCGCTACGAGATTAATGTGGAGGAGTAAACTCAGAGCTTGCTATCGAATGATCAAGGCGAGCGACCACCCCTTGCAGACGAAGAAGCGCAGAGGATATGGTTGGATGTTGTTGGTGGTCTTAAAAAGGGGATAGCATACGACCTTCCAGAGAAATTATTTCGGCGCTACAAGGCTGGATTGCAAAGTATAGGGACTTCCGCCCAAGGCGAGGCAATTGATAGGTCGACTATCTCGTCTATGGAAGAGAAGATCGCAAAGCTGACAGCAGAGCTTGAAGAGACAAAAGCTAGAGAACAAAAGAGAGACGAACAATTTGGTACCCTTCAAGTTCAGCTAGAAAGGAGGGACGAATAATTTAATCTCCTTCAAGGTCAGGTGACCAATCTTCTTGCTAGTGGTGCTTTCCACATTCCCCGGTCTCGTGAGCCTTCCCCATGTGCTAATCCTTCTCGTCGTGATCCTTCGAACCATGCCGACGATGAAGGTTCTAGGAGTGAAGATGGAGATGATGCTAGATAAAACACTCATTGAATGGTGTGTATTGCTAAACAAAATATTGAGCTTGTCAATATTTAGTTGAGACTAGTTTTGAATTATGATTGTATTGTTGATATTATTTTGTTGTTGAACATTTGTATAGTTGTTGTTGTGGTTATTATTAGCGTTGTTGGTTAATTGTTGTTGTTTTTGTTAGATAATGATAGTTGTTGTTAGTTAATTATTGTTGTTAGTTAGTTAATTGTTGTTGTTGATTAATTATGGTTGAATGGCAGCAATGTAATGCTGCCATTATAGGATGAATATTGGTTGTAATTGGCAGGTGGTGTAGCTTAAAAGCAAGCATTTTCTGCCCAGTTTTTACCCAGATTTTCGACCGAAATCGGTTGGAAATTAATTTTTTTTACCCAGAAAATCAAAAATTTCGACCGAATTCGGTCGGAAATTTCAAATAAAATCTCCAGTTTTTTGAAATTTCCGACCGAATCTGGTCGGAAATTATGAATTTATATTTCTGACCGATTTCGGTCGGTACCCGTTAGCGACCATCATTTTTCCGACCAATTAAAAACGGGCGAAAATTGATCGATTTTTATCAATTTCCGACCAATTTCGATCGGTTTTGGTGGACGAATTTACGCAGTTTTTTAGTAGTGTTTCCGGAGAGTCCTGAACAGCTCTTTTCCTTTTATTTAAAACCACAAGTAGAAAAGAACGAAAAAAGAAAGGGAGACAGTTCTTGACAAGATTTAAACGTTAACATAAGCTAATATCACCTGTGAACAAGATCTATAGTAATAGCAAATATTGCAAAGTTATTACCAGCAATTTTTTCTAATGCAAAATCCCACAACTGCAACTTTATAGTTTATAGCTTTTCCATTTTAACAATTTAAGGAGCAGATGACAGTAAGGTCATAGGAAATACTGAATCAACAATGAGTACTGCACAGTGCACACTTCCAGTTGTTGCAGCTTGCATCCGTCCAATAAACAAATAGGGGAACAAAAAAAGGAACCAAGACAGAATATTCGACAAAGTTGAGACTTTTACAGTATTACAGAAATACCCCACACACACCAAAACCACATAAAATTATCACTAGTAAATATAAATTGAAGGAATATGTATATTAATAAACTATAATAATAAAGTGAAAATAAAATATTCCATATAAATACACGTCATATATTCATTAAATTAATGTAAATGCCGCATTTGAATAAATTTTTTCCACTAGCAGAGCCATATCCCTGCAAGGAAAAATCTTCTCCATCACACAATTTGTTCATTATATTCGCGTCCACTATCACTAGACAAAGAGAACTTTTTTTTCCTCAGTTCACTAAAAGGATAGCTGTACTAAAGTAAAATATCTCCCAACAATGAGACTGATTGAATAGGCAAAACTGCTAAAAGAGGATTTAATAGGAGAACTTTCAACTCAACCAGGATCATTAGCTGTCCCACATAATGAGAATATAACATTAAGAAACAGTTCAGAAAGTACTGGTTAAAACAAGTACCCAAGTTCATAAGACACTACCATAAATAAGCAAAAAAGGATAAAAACTTAAAACTACATGGAACATCTCAAATTTGAAACTTGTAGCTCAAAATCTCCACCATACATCTAGCACTTGACCTCCTTCAAGCCAGGTGCAAGGTACAAAAAGGTAGGATCAGTTGCACCATCCTTGTAGTATGCAAACACCAGGGCACCCTCGTCATGCATGCTCTCGCCAACAAAGCTGCCAGCAAAAACATTTAGTATAAGGTTCAATATATAGGCACAAAGTATATTTAAGGAAAAAAGGAGTCAAAATTAGCTTCAACAATGAAGTGATAAAGAGTGAAAATAACATACAACTGAAAGTCCTTGAGCTTTGACATGAGGAACTTAGTTGCTGATTCAATGTTCTTTTTAAATGCTTCTTGGGCTTCTCCTTCTAGCTTGGGAGTCAGGTTCTTGATGTATCTCTTCATGTATGTAACAAATTGTTTCTTGTCAAAAGAAGGTTGTTCCTGCAAACAGAAAATAACGTCGTATTCACATAAAATAAGAGGTATATTGACGACGACTGAAGTTCCATAAAAGAGCATACAAACCTGAAGTCTGAAAGTGTCAACAATATCGACAACCTTGACAGCTTGATCATCCACACCTTCATCTTCATCAGCACCCTCAGCAGAAGGATTCGCCCCAATGTCTACATCAAGAGCACCTTGAACAACCCACTGTAATGTGACCAACACACCATATTATTCCTTTTTCCTTATATTAGATATTAGTACAAAAATATGGTTTCTATCAGATGGGTTGTTCAAGGGCAATAATTAACGAAATACATTACCTTCCCTTGAACCTCCCAAAGACATCCATTCTCGAGTTCTTTGTAGGGAAATGAATCTGAGAGGAGCTCATCACCTACAATATTTTAATGTGTTAATTTTGAATAACAACATCATATCATCATGAATGGGCAAAAACGAAAACCAGAAATTTCTACAGGCAAAACGTCCATGCAATCGGCACCATAAAATATAAGGATATTTTTCAATACTTCAACAAATAGGTAAGAGATAGTGATCAGTCCAGAGCTAAGTAGCTACTTTTTTCCTTTTGATTTTAATCTATAAGTCCAGCTAAAAAGCTCATTCCCTCATCACACACCTTTATTTTGTGACCAAATCCCCAAAATACTGAATACAGTTTAGGAACCAACCTCAATTGTAGCTTATCTAGACTCTATTATAGATAAGAAACCTCATTGAGTGCACAAAAAGCAAAGTAGAATCTAAACAGTTAGTCCAAAGCCACTGTTATAACACTCTAAATAGTGAACTTGAGCATATGAAGCAACTCGGAGGTGCGAAAACTTGAACTACGTACATACATACTTTTAAAAAAGGGTAAAGCCAACAGACATATAAAAACTGGTGCTATTGCGGCTACACCTCCCGCTTTGTCAGGTATACTACGAAGAATGACATGGATTGGTAGGAAATACCATTCTGGCACAATATGAGGCGGGGTGGACATCGGATTAGCATATAACAACAAAAACTTGATGGAATAACTAACCATAAGAAACGTGGAAGAGTCGAGATTAAACATTAAAAGAGCCTTTGTAGCCTCTTTTTATTTACAGCATGCACCATATACACTTTAAGATGCTTAATTGATCTTGAAATCACTAGAATACACAAAGCAAATCCAGATCTACTGAAATCAAAACCTGGTCTTCGTTGCATAAACATGTCCTTTTATGTTTGTTGCGTAAAATTACAACTAGGATTTCCAAAATTAAATGTGTGAATGTGTCACAAGTCTAGCCAAACTAAAAACTAGAAAGATCAAGACTTTAGGATCCAAATAGCTCCTATATTCCTCCAAATCAGAAAAGTATACATAAATAAACTTTAACGATCAAATCCTCCAAAATGATGTTGAAATATAAGATCAGATTAGATCTAGCAATTCAATTCCCAAACAAAAAAGGAAAAAAAAAAAAAACTATGCGCTAATAGCTTAAGCAAATCACATAGACAGTAAGAGCAGTCAAATCAACCAGATCTTATTGAAAACTATGGTCTCAAACACCAGAAAAACTCAAATTCATACAATAAATCAAGCCATAAAACAAAAGCCAGAAGATACAAGCGAATCACTCAACAAGAGTCACCGCAGATGGCTAAAACAGCACAATTCTGGTTCGAAGATTACAACTTTCTAGCAAGGAGTTAAACACAAAACATAACTGAGTGGCAGAAAATTGGAACCAGGAAAAAAAAAAGAAAAAAAACATAGAACACGACTCGACCTTCAAAACAACAAAAGATTAGCAGAAAAAGAGAAATAGATATAAGCGAAAGAAGGGGGAAGAAGAGTACCGGAGATAAGATCCTGATAAACCAACATGGTGGAAGCGTATTCTTTTGCTTTCTATCTCTAAAAAGTAGGAGGATGACAAGAAAAAAACAGACCAGCGAAGGCTCGAGAGAGGGACGGTTTGAGGTGGTGCACGCCCGGGTATTTATAGCTACAGAATTCCACGGGATTGCGGTATACGAGCGGAACATGGAAAAAGACCAAAATAAACCGACTTGAATCCAGAAATTACCGTATTTGCCTTTACCCGTTTTGGGTAGGGTTGTGACTAACTGCCGCCGCACCATGTCCCTAAAGGACTCTAATTAACTTTGACGCAATGCCAATTTACATTATAGTCTTCAGTCTATAACAAAACAACAACAATCCAATAATAATAATAATAATAATAATAATTAATAAAAAAATATTCTGTTACAATATTACGAGACCCAAAATAATTTTACCGTTTGAATGTTAAGATGTTTTTCCCCCACCAATGTTAATATTTCAATGTGTCCGTTTTAAAAAGATTGTCTTAGTTTGACTTAACACAAACTTTAATATAGAAGAGAAACCTTTCGAGAATTGTGGTCTTAAATAAGTCATAACATTTGTGTGATTATAAAACTTTTGAAACTTGTGGTCCGAAACTTGTCATATCACTTCTGTGGCTGTAAATGCTTCTTATTAATTAAAGAAATATTGAAAGGTGTCAATGTCTTTTGAAACGAACTAATAAAAATAATGCTAATCTTTTTGAAACAGACGGAGTAACTACAATTAATATGTTTCTCTTGAGTTTATTTTTGAAATGTTAAGAATTTATTTATCATTAGACAATAATTTTTCTTGAAAAGTTACTTTTTATCTACGTTATAATGTATTTTTATCGTTGGCCAAGACTCAAATTGATTATCTACTCCTCCGGAAGTGTGATAGGGGCCTGTGCATGAATTGCAAGGTCTACCAAGTGAGAATCACACGACTCATCATAGGTTATTGGTGATGGACTTAGAGATCGTGAGGAAGAGGAAGAAGAGGGTTGTGTATGGTCAACCTAGGATCAAGTGGGGTGCCTTGACGTATGACAAAGCGCATGAGTTGGGAGGGAAGTTGCTGGCTATGGGAGCCGGAGGAGCGGTGGGGACGCGAGTTGTATATGGACCACGACAACGTAGTGTATTAGAGTAGCTACGACAGAGGTGATATGGGTCTCAAAGGGTTTCTCTGGCGGCCACAAAGATGACTGGTGGTGGAGTGAGGAGGTACAAGAGAAAGTGGAAGCCAAGAAATCGGCGTACTTGAAGTTTATAGAGAGCATGGACGAGAAGGCAAAGAGGATGAACAAGGAGGGGTATAAGAGGTCTAAGAAGGAGGCGAAGATAGCGGTTACTATGGCTAAGACTGTGGCGTTTGGGCTTCTGTATGAAGATCTTAGGGCTAAAGGCGGGGACAAGAAGTTATACAGGCTAGCCAAGGTGAGAGAGAGGAAGGACAGTGATCCGGATCAAGTTAAGTGCGTCAAAGATGAGGAAGGTAGAGTTTTGATGGAAGAGGCTTAGATTAGACGAAGATGACAAACATACTTCCATAAACTCCTGAATGAAGAGGGTGATAGGAACATTGTGCTAGGCGATTTGGAGCACTCCGAGATTCGTTGGGATTTCAAGTATTGTAGGCGCATAAGAGTAGCGGAGGTCGAGGGGGCTATGCGCAAGATGCACAGGGGTAGAGCAACCAGGCAAGACGAAATTGCTGTGGAATTTTGGAAGAATGCGAGTAGGACAGGTTTGGAGTGGCTAACTGGCTGTTCAACGTTATTTTTAGGACGAAGAAGATGCCCGAATAATGGAGGTGGAGTACGATGATTCCGTTGTATAAGAACAAGGGCGATATCTAAAGTTGCAATAATTATAAGGGGATTAAGCTGCTTATCCATACGATGAAAGTTCGGGAGAGAGTGGTTGAAGTGACAGTGATGAGCAATGTGTCCATTTCTGAGAACCAGTTCGATTTTATGTCGTGGCATTCAACTATGAATACCATTCACCTTGTGAGGAGATTGGTGGAATGGTATAGGGAGATGAAGAAGGACGTGCATATGGTGTTCATTGACCTAGAAAAAGTTTATGACAAAGTCCCGAGAGAGGTGCTTTGTAGATGCTTGGAGTCTAAAGGAGTCCCAGTAGCCTATATTAGGGTGATTACAGACATGTATGATAGAGCTAAGACTCGGGTTAGGACAGCGGGAGGAGACTCGGAACACTTTCCGATTGTGATGGGGTTGCACCAGGGATCAGCTCTTAGCCCATTTCTATTTTCCTTGGTGATGGACGCATTGATGCGGCACATTCAAGGAGAGGCGCCATGGTGTATGTTATTTGTTGATGACATAGTTCTGATTGACGAGACGCGGGGTAGTGTTTACGATAGGCTGGAGGTTTAGAGGCAGACCCTAGAGTCTAAGGGTTTCAAGTTAAGCAAGACCAAGACAGAATACTTGGAGTGCAAGTTCAACAATATTACCTAGGCAGCGGACATGGAAGTGAGGCTTGAACACAAGTCATCCCCAAGAGAGGTAGTTTCAAGTACCTTGGATCTATAATACAAGGTAACTGGGAGATTGATGAGGATGTCATGCACCGCATCAGAGCGGGATGGATGAAGTGGAGGCTCGCTTCCGGTGTCTTGTGTCATAAGTATGTGCCGTTGAGACTTAAAGGTAAGTTCTACTGTAGTTAGACCGACTATGCTGTATGGAGCAGAGTGTTGGCCTATTAAGAACTCTCATGTCCAGAAGATAAAAGTAGCTGAGATGAGGATGTTAAGGTGGATGTGTGGGCATACCAGGTTGGATAAGATTAGGAATGAAGTTATTCGGGATAAGGTGGGAGTGGCCCCTGTGGAGGAAAAGATGCGGGAGGGGAGGTTGAGATGGTTCGGGCAAGTTAAGAAGAGAAGTATAGAAGCCCCGGTTAGAAGGTGCGAGGGGTTAGCCTCAGTGGGTATCAGGAGGGGTAGAGTTAGGCCTAAGAAGTCTTGGGAAGAGGTTATTAGGCGGGACATGGCGCAGCTGGAGCTGACTGAAGACATGGCCCTAGATATTAGGGTTGTTCAAAACCGAACCTTAACCATTAACCGAAACGAAAAAACAGCTTATTGGCTTATTGGTATCGGGTTATCGGGGTAACGGTTGGTGAACGGATTGAGATGTTATAATTAACGGCTTAACGGTTTGGGGACGGATTACTCAATTTTCTTATCGGATAAACCGTTAATCCGTTAAGAATTTTTATATTTATACTTTTACCTCTATGTATATAAAGTAATTTTTGAACCCTAAGGTACTCGTGGGAACTTCAAGGTACTCTCTTTTGTATTCCCAACTATTGATTTCCTTTTCTTTTGCAGTCAAAATATGTTACATTTACAGTATATTGAAAATCATGTTCCCAAAATGATGTATGTTAAGAAGTTACGTGCATCTCTTCGTTCTTCTTCTGTTATTGGTATACATATTCCTTGATTTTATGATTGTCCTGAAGAGTAAGGGATAAAAGGCACTTCCTTTTAGTGCTTTTTAATATACCCGTAGTAATTAAATCCAACAACTTACAGGAAAATATTCTTAGCTATGCAACCAAAAGAGCGAGGGTTCAAAAAATTTCTATTTGATTTAGCCGATAAATCATCCGATAACCGTCCGATAATCGTAAATCCAATACCAATCGGCCCGTTATCTTATTGGATCGCTAGCGAATTACTACATTTATAATCAAATAACCGATAAAATCGAACCGTTAAGCATAATAATCCGCCCAAACCGCCCGATAAGCACCCTACTATATAGGAGGGTGTGGAGGTCGAGGATTAGGGTAGAAGACTAGCAGGTAGTCGAGCGTTTCTCTTTGTCTTACCCAGTTCGATAGCATTAGTGTTAGTATGATATTCTTTTATTCATAGATAACTATTACTACATAGAGTTAACTGCTTTTGTGGATTCGGTCTTTTTTATCTTATTGTTATTCTTACTTGTTGACATTATTTTTTTTCATCCGTTCTCCAGCCGATGGTCTATCTGAAACAGTCTATCTATCTATCCTTCTATAATAGGGTTAATGCTGCGTACATCTTACCCTCAGTTGTTGTAGTTTTTGTTGTTGTTATAAGGCGAAATACATAAATGGCCCCTCCAAGTTGTCCACAACGGTCATTTGAACACCTCAACAGATCTATTATCAAGTAGACACTTCAATTGTCTGTTAAGTAAATCAAATAGACATCCCGGTACAGCATACCATATGCGTGAGTTACACTTGCCAAATGAGCCAATCAATGAACGACACGTGTAATTTGTAATTAAAACTTAATACAAATTAACCAAAAAAAAAATTTAAAGAAGAAAAAACCCTTCTCCAGCGTCCCTTTCTCCTCCTCCTCCCC